CTCCTGTCTCCCTTCCTCACTTTTAATAAAAAAAAATCAAATAGATTAAGAGAGATATCTACCTCATTTTCCTCTCCTCCAAATCAACCGACCGCAACAGAGGCTTAATTCCAAAACGTCTTATCTTTTCTTATCTCAGATAAAAATAAATTATCATTTGCGTAAATGTTTGAAAAAGTGGATGTTGAGAAAAAGAAGTAAAACATACAGGAAGCAATTCATTAACAACACATCCTCCTCAATTATTGGTATTCAAAAAGAAAAAAAGAGGAACAAGAAAATGCTTCCCCTCTCGATTTCATCCACAACGCAAAGCTCTTTATAAACAAAAACCAATCTGCAAGTTTCACTCTCATTCCGACGAGGAATTATAGTCAGAGTCAGAGCTCCATTTCGGCCGGAGGCACAGATCGTTTATGGGCTTTAATCTTTCTTCCTTTCTTCCTCTTCAATGGCTAACCTCTTCTCCCTCCTGATCCTTCACAGGCTACCCATCACTGGATTTCATCTCCTCCTCATCTTTCTACACTCCGTCTTATAACTCCTGCTTCCCTTACCGGTTCCTCCGGTAACACATCTTCTCGTTTGTTTCCATACTTCCTAGAATCCAACTTTGATTCTGTTTTCAGCTTTTTGTTTGTGACTTTATTTAACTATTGGAATCCAATTGAAGAATCAGAGACCTTTTCGGGTTTCCTTTTCCATTTCTGGAATTCGGGAAGTTGCCTTTTTCTTTGTTTTCGGTGGTTGTTGTGAAAAAGTCAAAAGTGAGGAGGAGTTTAAAGGATTCGACTTTGATTGATTAAACGAGTTCCCTTTACTCAATTGAAGCAATTGAGGTGATTAGACATGAACCCTTAATTTTGTTTTGTACAAGAATCCCAATATATGCAAAAGTTTCTATTTTTGGTTTTGTTGGTTATTGTTTGTGTTCGGATGTACAGAAAATTGGAATGGCATCGGTGTTTCTGTATCATGTTGTGGGCGATCTGACGGTCGGAAAGCCGGATTTCGTGGAGTTTTATGGAACGGAGACGGTTGAATTGGCAATTCAAGTAATAGGAGACTCCACAGAATGCGGAATCCCAGTTTGGAGGAAGAGACAGCATGTGGGTATGACGGAGAACAGTGAAATGAGGCAACAGAGATTTGTTGGTATTCTTACTTCTCTTGATATTGTTGCGTTCTTGGCTAGAAGTGAGTGTTTGGAGAATCAAGAGAAAGCCATGAAGACGCCTGTTTCTGAGGTGGTTGTGCCCAATAATTCTCTATTGAAACAGGTTGATCCTGCTACAAGGTTAGCTCTTTGGTTTTCCATCACTTTATAAATAAATGAAGCTAGAATTCTTGTTCTGATATAGTTTCATAGTTTATGAATGTGATTCTTTGATAGATGTGTTTTTTGAATCCTGATTATCATGTTTGTTAGGTCATCATAGCTTGCTGACAATCATCAAAAGGAAGAAATCACTTCAAGCGATATAGGATATAATCTTAGAATTGGGAAGGGAGTCTTATCATAAGTTTTATAGTAACCCTTAAGGATGGATACTCTCCCATTTTGTCTTTATTTAGCTCCCCCTTTAGGTGAACTGTCCACACCTTCTATGATAACAAAATCTAGCAGATTTTAGAATTTGAGATATGCCACAAATCTTGTAAATTAGTTTTTATCCTTAATGTTACATGTATCTTGGAACGATCAATTGTCTTGTTTCTAAAAAGTGTTTATAATATGAATGAAGATATTCATTCAGCATTATTTGTATATTTATGTATGTTGTATTTATTTTTATATATTCTTGATCATATAAAAGTGAACTAAAGTATGGTTTGGTTTTAAGTTAACAATCTCTTTTTTCCCTTCCATCTCTCCTCTTACACTCCAGTCTTCTTGTGCTTGATAAGCTGTATTTAGTATTTGTTATCATCTAGATCTTTACAGTATGCTTGATGAATTAAATCTCTACAATCAACATCCACATTATTCTTCATTTTCCAAATATTAATTCATTTTTGTTTTAAAATATCTTCTTACTGAGGCGTCAGTCTTGTTATATGTTCCATAAAAGAGAAGTACTATATATGTTTTTGTTATTTGCTTGACAACAAATTGCATGTGCTGGGTTGTTGAGGAATGAATGGTCAAGGCAGTGAAGAATGGTGCTTGAGGTACCAAATAATATTAACTCACTCCCTTTACCTTAGATGACGTAGCAGTATATGGTTAGGGCATTAATTAAATCATCAAAATTGTACCAATCAAGTATAAGAACCATGAAGCTTTGAGTTCTAACATTTCTAGTTTTATTTATATCTACCTGTCTTTTCATTGCATTTCAATTATCTGGTTGAGCTGTTGTTGTAAATTGTAAGGGGGACGTTTTATTCTTTTTGGCCAAAGAGAACAGGGAAGGTTTTTTTTTTTTAATTGTTTTTATTATTTATTTAATTTATTAAAGTAATTTGAAAATTTTCTAAATAACTCAGCAGTCTCATAGAAATCATCTTCAATAATTTCAGTGTACAAAGGAATATGTTTAGAATACTATTTGAAATTTGGGCAAATTACACTTGCTTCCCATGTGGTTTAGGGTGGGTGCCCTTAACCTCAAATCACAACTATGTGCAGTTAACCCCTCAAATCAGAAAAATGTGCACTTAACCTCCAAAATCATGAAATTGTGCTCTTGAGCTCCTTGTTTGGAAAATGTGCAGTTAACCCTCAAATCTTCCTCAGATTTCACCTTTAATGTTAATAAACTTGGGGTTAAGTGCACATTTTCCAAACCACAAGGATTTCAAGAATACATTTTCATGATTTGGGGGATTAAGTGCACATTTTCAAACTATATGGGATCAAGCGCACATTTTTGTGATTTGGGGGATTAAATGCCGCCACTCCAAACCACATGGGGTAGGTAATTAGACCATAATAAGATAGAATGGACCCATGATAAGCCCATTAGAGCAAATCCAAAAATTACCAGAATAGCCCTGGGAGCAAAAACTCAGTTAAACTGCAAAATTGTTATACTGATGATCAAAAAATTGCTTACATGGGCAATTTCTCGCCCTTGGACTGAACATGCCTGTTTGCCATAACTTAAGCCCTATTCTTGTGGTGGATAATTTTTTTCTAAGCAAGTGATGGAACATCATAAGGATTGCACTTTTTGAATGACATTTACAGTTGATGTCAATTTGTTTTCAAAACAAATGTTAAGTTTTCTCATGAAGCTAATAATGGGAAGGCATGGGCTTCCTAAATGGTAAAAAGTTGATTTTCCTGGATCTTCTCAAATTCCAATATGAGGTTGGAATCATATTCAATAGAAAGGGGTGGTAATTCAGAAATCCTATATCCAAGATATTTAGTGCATCCTTTCTTAATTTGGTTATTTGAACAAATATGTCCTTCCATAAATTAAATTAAGTACTCTCTTCTTTCTCATTTCTTACAAAACATTGTTTTCTTTGACCCATTGTCTTAAGCCATATAGGGCAGATATATCTTTGTTAATATTGTGTAATTAGATATGTCCTTATTCACTAGTACTTTTATTCAACTTTTGTTCACAAAACCTTCCTTTCTAAACAAGCTTGCAACTTCAAAACTAGAGCTTTGAGGCTATATTTGAGAATATTTTCCAGCCCCAACTTCGTTATACATGGGAAGAGTGAGTTATTCATATTTAATTTGGCACTGTTTTGTCATTTTATTTGACGAGTCTGAATTCAATTTTCAACATTATCAAACTACTAGAACCCTGGAAAATGTTTACTATAGTTGCACAACTAAGAAAATGAAAGGAATCCAGAAGTTTCTCAACTGAGATGAGACATGAAATTTTATATTTTTCATATGTGTGTGTGTTTTTAACTCAGTTGTTTAGTTTTATGCTCTGTGGTGATACACTTTCAATGTAATCTCATGAAGTTTTTTATTTTTTTCCTTGTTCAAGGTTGATAGATGCCTTGGAGATGATGAAGCAAGGTGTGAAGCGACTTCTTGTCCCTAAGAGTAAGGTATGGAAAGGCATGAGCAAGCGGTTCTCAATTCTTTATAATGGTAAGTGGCTCAAAAACATTGAAACTGGTAGTAATAATAACCTCCCTTCCAATAGCAATCGACCTTCCTCTTCTTCCACCAACTCCGCCATGTGTGACAAGTTTTGTTGTCTCTCAAGAGAAGACATCATCCGTTTTCTTATTGGTTGCCTCGGTGCTTTAGCTCCACTTCCTCTTTCCTCCATCTTCTCTGTTGGAGCTATCAACCAGCACTATAACTTTATCGAAGCCTCCCTCCCTGCCATAGAAGTTACTAGGAAACCACCTGGTGACCCGTCTGCAGTTGCTGTTGTGGAGCTCACACCAAATGGGCAGTGTAAAATTAT